TAGCCAGAGCAATCAGGCAAGATCAACAAATAAAAAGGATATGTGTACGAAAGAAAGAAGTTAAATTATATTATTTGCAGATGATAAGATCTGTTACATAGAAAAAAACCAAATAACTCCACCAAATGACTCTCAGAATTAATAAAGATATTAAGCAAGTAGCAGGTTACAAAATGCATAGAAAACAATCAATAGCATTTCTGTACAGCAACAATGGGTACATCAAGAAAGCAATAAGAAAAACAATCCCATTCACAGTAGGTTCAAAAAAATTAAATCATTAGTAATTATCCTAACCCAGGAAATAAACGACCTCTACAATAAAAACTATGGTTCTCTGTGAAAAGAGATTTTAAAAATCTTTTAAGAAAATGTTAAATTGTTTGCATTTATACTAGTTTCTTTGGTTCATTGAAAAAAAAATGCTTTTTCCTTTCGTTTTTTATGGTAAGAGAATTTTTTGTCCATGACTTGTACTCTGAGTAACATACTGACAATTCTTTAAGGTTATGATACGCAGTACATTAACTGTTGCTGTTTTATACTTATACTGTTATGAAATTTTGTAGTTTTTTCATACAAGTAGGAAGAGATTTGTTTTATTTTCTTTATTAAAATATCTACTTGTATTATATAAAAATAAAAAAATTTTGAAAGATATTAAAAATTGAAAGATTTTCCCTGTTCTTGGATAAAGAGGACAAATATTGTCATAATGGTCATATACCAAAAATGACACATAGATTAAATAAATTTACAATGAAAAATAACATCAGCATTATTCACAGGATTATAAAAAATCCTAACATATATATGGAAGCAGAAGTGAGCTAGAATAGTCAGTTATCGTGACTATGAAAAGCAAAGCAAGAGGCATCACAATCTCTGGTTTAAAGTTATATCACAAAGCTACAGTAATAACAGCATGATACAGTAACAAAAACAGACAATAGATCAGTGGAACAGAAGCGATGATGCAGAAACATTCCCAGCTTCATTTCGCCATATAATCTTTGACAAAGGTACTGGATAGATAGCCACTTTAACAGATTGTGCTGGGATTATGGATTATCCACGTGTCGGAGAATGAATTTAGATCAATATTTCACACCCTGTTCAAACATCAAAACTAATTGGATAAAAAACCCTAGATATTAAAATAAAACAACTGAATCTACTTGAAGATAAAATAGATAAAATTCTTTTAGATATAGTCATAGGCATAAACTTTCTGAACAGAATTTCAATTGTAAAAGAAAAAATACAAAAAATCACAAATGGGATTATATCAAATAAAAACCTCTGCATAAAAAGAAAACAATCAAGAGCATTAAAAGACATTCTACAGAATGGGAAAAAAATGTCAGGTACATCTCAACAGAGGACTAATGTCCAGAATATATTTTTTTAAACTTTAAAAAATAACTCCCTCAAATATAAGAGCCAATGAAAAAATGGGTAATTGAAATGAATAGACACTTCTCAATGAAGGAAGTACAAATAACCAATAAATATATGAAAAAATGTTAAACATTTTTGGTCATTAGCGAAATGCGAATGAATGAAAATAACAGTGAAATTCCATCTTACTCCACAAAGGATGGCTATTATCAACAAATCAAGAAACAACAAACCTTGGCAAAAAGGTATTTTATATCTCTGGTTGGAATGTAAACTAGTACAACTAATATGGAAATTAGCACAGAAATTCCTCATAAAATGAAAAGTTGAAGTTCCATTTGAACCAGGTTAACCTCTTTTTGATATTTTCCTGAAGTAGTTGATCATATATTATAGCAACATACACGTACACATATTTATAGATGCAAAGTCAACAATATTTAAATCTTGGAAGCAGCCAAAGGCCCAAACATAGATGAAAGGATAAAGAAAATCTGGTATATATATATACAATGAGTACTTCTCATCCATGAAAAACATAAATTTTAGTCATATGTAGGAAAATTGATGCACCTTGAGACTATGTTTTAATCACTTTTCTTCTCACTGAGATGCAATACCCAATACCCACAATTTAAAGGAGGAAATGTTTATTTTAGCTCACATTTTTGGCCCATGTTTGTCTGGCTCCAAGGCAGAAAAAGCAAGGTGAAAGGGCCTGAGCAGAGGACAGCTGCTCTTCCCCTCATTCAGGAATCACAGAGAAAAGGAAAGAGCCAGAGTAGGAGATGTACTTTGCTAGGTCATGTCCCTAGTGGCCTGTTCTTCTAGCCAAGCCCCACCTTCTAGTCAGTGATAGGGCCGCCCCATGATTCTGTCACCTTCCAACAGCTTTACCCCTGAACACTTGAGTTTTTTGGGGGACATTCTATACCTAAACCGTAACATTCCATCACTGGATCCAAAAAGACTCATTCTCATCTCTTTATGCAAAATGCACTTAATGCATCTCTAAGAGTCACCAAATTATAATAGATTCAGTATTGGATCTAAGTTTCCACTTACATTCAATTCAAATTCTTACCTATAAACCCCTATAATAATCAAAAGGATAGTTAAATATTTCCAACATAATGGCCCAGTGTAAACATTCCCAATCCAAAATGAATATATAGGGGGGCTGGGCATGGTGGCACATGCCTGTAATCCCAGCACTTGGGAGGCTGAGGCAGGAGGATCGCTGTGACTTCGAGACCTGCCTAGGCTACACAGTGAGTTCCAGGTCAGTCTCAACTACATAGTGAGACCCTGTCTCAAAAAACAGCAACAACAACAACAACAAAAAAAACAAACAAAAAAACCAAACATAATGAATATATAGCAGGATAAAAAGGAATGGCATTAAAGCAAGACGAAAAGTCAGCAGGGCAGACACTATACCTTGCAGTTTGATATCAAGTATGCAATGCACATTGTAGCAAGATATAAACTTCAAAGGGCTTGTGCAGTCCTGCCCCTAGACATTGCAAAGTGCAGGCCTCATGTTTTTGCTTACTGTCTGATGCTTTCCTCAGCAACACTCCATGTTTCTGGCATCTCCAACTTCCCGGAATCTCCACTATACTTTTGGCTTCATTCTTACCACTTCAGGTACTGCCTCTCAGAGGCATACTGCTTGTACTCCATGCCTTTTTCGGAAATCTGGGTGAAAATATCTCTGTCCCACAGCTCTTGCATTCTACAAGCACGTAAAGACAGGTCCACATGGACAATGTCAAGGTACGCCATCAGTGCAAGCTGTATCTATGCCCCCTTAGATTATGGCTACAGAGACATCTGAGTACCTGAATGGCTGATCTCCAGGAAACTCTTTCATAATTGGACACAAATAAACTGTGCTCATGAGAATTCCCTTCTCAAAGCAAAGTATTTCAGTTTTTCACCTTTGAATCTGCAAAGAGAGCAGTCTTGTTGATTCCTGAGGTATTCTTAACCCATCTTTCCTATTATCTTGATTAAAAGCACTTGACTTCTATTTAGTATAACCATATTCTCTGTGGCCCCATTTTTATTATGTATTTCCTGAAAAATTCAGTATATACTTTGGTCCTGTCTTTTGCTCCTTATTCTCAAAGTAGGTCTCATTAAAATTACCAGCAGTACCTAAGCCACAGTCTGAACTTTGCGATGCCTTGAAATTTAATAACCCAGATTAGCCAACCACCCTGAATCTTGATCTCCTGCAAAGTCTCAGGAAATGAGCAAAATGTAGACAACAGTTTTTGTTTCCAACATCATCCTCTTGAGCCTGGCCATTACTATCTTTATTTCTGTCATCATACTGGATTTCAGAACTCTGACAAATACTTCCTTGGCTTATAATATTCTAAGGCTTCTCTAGCAAGCATTTCCAAACCTTTCCCACAAACCCTTTTCCAAGGCTTCTAAAACACATGGTAATGTACAACTAAACCAATGACTCCATGCTGGCACTAAAATCTGTCTTAATCACTTTTCTCCTTGCTGAGACACAGTATGCAATACTGACAATTTAAAAGAGGAGAGGATTATTTTTGCTCACATTTTAATTCCATGGTCAGCTCTCTCCAAGTGAGAAACAATATGGCAAGAGGGCCTGGGTATGGGATAGCTGCTCACCCCATGACAGCCAAAAATTCAAGAAAGAGGGTAGGAGCCAGGGAGGGAGAAGATGTATCCTTACAGGTTACACCTTCAGTGGCCTGCCTCTTCCAACCAAACCCTACCTCACAAGAGCAAGTCAGCTATAGTGACAGCACGATCCACTCAAACTCAAAAAGCCCCACCTCTGAACACATCAGTCCTTGAGAGGACATCTATATCTAAACAGTGACAAACCATAATCATAAGTAAAATAAATCAGACACAGGTTAAATATTGCATAATTTATCTAATGCCAAAAACCAAAAACATAAATAATTTAAAGTGCAAAGCCAGATAGGTTATTAGAAATAAGGAGGTAGACTTTATGATGATGAGGAGATCTAGGAAAGTGTGGAGGTGAGAGAGTGGAAAAGAAAAAGGAAATTCAATACAATTAGGATGCAATATGTACCAATTCCACAAGATGATTGCAATTATTTTGTGTCACAAACATTTACTAATAAAAAAGAAACAAGAGAAAATCTGCCAGTGGGTTAGTAAATTTAAGCTATTTTCAAATTTTGTGATATATTTTTAAAAGTTATTCAAATTTTGCATATTTCTCTATATAAATTCATAAACACTTAATGCTTTACATTATTTAATGTGAAAGAGTATAATTCTGCTAGAAAGATGGATATGTGTGGCTCACAGATATGTGTGACTTTCTCAGAAGTATGATCTAAGCAAAAGAGACTCATTGTACATTTTCATGTATTAGTAAGCCTAGATAAAATCAATATGAAAGATTATTTTAAAAACAGTGTGAAGAATAATTGTAGGGAAGTGAAAAGAGACAAGAGATATCACTTCTCAGCATTTTGGCTAAGATCAAGGTGGAGACAAGAGGTAAGATTACTCAAGAATGCATTATAATGATGAGTATGATCCATGAAAGAGGAAATATTGATGCTCACCTGATCCAGCATTTTTGCCATCTCCTCCAATAAGTGGAACTGTAATGGCTGCAGGGCTCCCATCTGTAGGCAAACTGGTATACACCATGGGTAGAGACTGCACCACTACTGGGATGGCCTTCAGTCCACCTATCTTATTTGGCAGATTGACTGAGGGAATAGTGTGTATCACATGTAAGAACTGTTGGCCACCAGTCCCCTGAGAGGAGGGCAGAATAGAGTTTGGAGCAAGAACAGTAGGAATGTTAGTTGGAGTGCCCATGTGAGCTGTTGAAGTGGACACTACAGTGGCCTGGGGAGAAGACTGTGGTTTGGGAGGACGTATGGGAGGTTGAAGCATGCTAGCAGGCTGGAGAGGAGCCTTAGGCTTGTGAAAGGAGAGGTCAACTGGTTCCACCTGGGGCAGGTTGAAGTCATTATCCAGAAGTTCTTCTGGGGGCTCAATCTTGATGTCATTAAACAGTTCTGGGTTCTCCATAGGGCTGGTATCCAGAAGTGATGGAGAGGCAATATTACTTCTGTCTGTTGGCTCAGGAGTATCTCTGGTATGAATAGGGCCAGTGACCTAAAATAAGTAAACAAATGACAAGCACAAAACAGCAACTGTTAGTACCCTAAAGCAATATGCAAAATATAAAGAAATAAAGAAATCGGTATTCTTTTTTCATGGAAATAATACAGTGTTGGAATAATGAGTTAGGAGTACACTTAAGAAAAAAAGGGGGGAAAGAAATATTACTGGCACTGTTCTAGGCAAATGGCAAAATGCATTTCATTCATTTCTTATAATAACATTAAATATTAATTAAAGTCAACACTACCTGAGTATTCCCTGTAATCACTGTGCAAAGTCTAGTGACAGCAAACATAAATAAAGTATTGCTAAGAAGTTCATGCTAGAATTCAACATGGGTGAATGGAGGAGTCGCTTTGGATGTACTCAGAGGGAAATCAACTAAAATCACAGGTAATTCTAAGAAAGGAAGAGGCATACATCCTGATGTCAAAATCAATCTGAAGTGAGAGACTAGTAGATCAAGTAAATCATAAGCATGGGACTTCATAAAATAGCACATCACCCCATGGGGATACCAGCAGTGCAGGCAGTGCTGAGCAAGATTTACCATACTGGGAAAGTTCCCAAGAAACTGATGAAGTGAAAAAATGCAGCAAAAACCAAGACATAACATGTAAAGGTAGAAGATCCCAATGATAAATGTAACTGTATTGCTTGCTTTAAATGTACCAATAAACAATGCAGGAAAAATGCAGCAACTCAAGCCACACAGGATAGATTTGAGGGAAGCAAAGGCCTCTTGTCTTTTTTGCCTTTCTTTACACAGAAGATGCTGTAGCCTGGCAGTAAATTTCACTGACACACACACACAGGAGAGTGACCAGAAATAATCAGCTCCCTCCCAAACAGATGGACCTCCAGCTCCTTTTCTTTTCCTTTTTTGTTTTTTGTTTTAATGCTGTTGTGTTCCCTAGCAGATAACTGGAAAACCTAGTGGCAACAAAGTTAGAGAGTGCAGCACAGCGGAAGTAGGGAAACAAGTAGAAAATGGTGGCTTCAGAGAAAGATGCAGACTTGAGTGCATGGGATTTCAACAACCTCCAGTTAGCACTTAACCTGCTAGAGAGGCAATTAAGGCAGAACCTGTCATCCCTGAGCTATACAGGACCTCACCCTCACCCTCATCCCTGCCCTGTGACAAACAGTGGACTAGAGATGTGCCAGTGGGGGTGAAACAGAAGAGGCTGTCCAAAGATCCAGTGAAGCCAATTGTACACAGAACTGGGAGGAACCCCAGGCTCTCTATGCTTGAGGGAGCCACAGAAACCCATGGTACAGAGGCTTGGGAGGGCCATAGAGATATCCAAAAAGATACTGGCTGAAGACTGGCACCAACTCCCACAAGATCAGCCAGGTACCCAGCACTAGTCCTACTGCAGACTTGGCAGAGATACACAGCACAGTTTTGGGACACTACCTTCCTTGGGCTCTACCACAGAACTGTAGACTCCACAGGAATTGTATTTTTTTCTTTGTTGGTTAAGTTTCCTTTTATTGTCTGTCCCCCCTCTTTTGGTTTTAGGTTTTTGTCTTTATTTTTATATTGTTCTAATCATTTCCTTTCTCTCCTTCCTCAACTACATCTTTTAGTTTAATATATTTTCATGTGAGTGAAAATAATCTCATTTTTTTATTCATTCTAATATTCTTTTGCTTTATCCTTGATGCTTTCTCTCCTGCACTTTTCTGCAGGTTCCCAAAGGTTGAGTGATCATCTTTTGTTCTCCAGCCTTGCCTCTACTATGTTTCCCTTCATTTATCTCTCTGCTTTGCCCCCTGGCCCACTTAATTCCTCCCACCCCCACAGAAAGTAAAATCACTCCACTAAGTGGAAACTTATTGCACATAAGTTCCTGGTTTATGTTGGATTGTGTTATATAACTGTAGACCTTGTTCTTATTGTTAAAGGATCCAATTATTAGTTACCTCAATTTATCAGTTTCTAGGCCCAACTAGATGCTATGGCTATTGTTATTTGTATTACATTAGCCAGGATATCATACCTGTCATAATTAGTTGTTCTCCATTGTATGACAACACTGTGATTCTCTGGGGCCACAACCATTACCATAATCCCGAACCAAAGGACTGGGTGCTGAGCCAAATAAATAGCAACTTTTAATCCTTAATAAATTGGGAGGGTAGGATCTCAGGACAGACACAAAAACCAAGGACCACATATGCCCAGAAGATATCTCTGTGGAATAAAGATTTCTCAGGAAAGCCTGGATGCTAGTGATGAAGCTATCTGCCATAAGAAATTTACAAGCATCAATACAGAAAACAAAATACCCCCCCCAAAAAAAAAGAAAATGAGATGACAAAGAAGCAAAATGAAATTCCAATCCTCCGGCCCAACAATAACAAGTCCAGGAGAAACAAGATAGTGGAAATCAGAAGTCACTTTAAGTTTCTAAAGTGATAACAGCAGAAATTAAAAAAAACCAAACAAAATAAAACAGATGCATGAGGTTATAGAAAATATCTCTCAGGTTAAAAAAGAAATGATAAAAATGAAAGACATGCTCAATAATTCTAGAGTAGATATAGATTAAAGAAATATAGAGGAGCTTAGGAAAATGATAGAAACTATGAATGCCCAACATAAGAAAGAAATGAAATACATGAAAGAGATTCAAACAGACATTCAGGAGATTAAAAATTTCATTGAAAGTATACACAATAGACTGAATGAAGGCGAGGACAGAATTTCTGATCTAGAAGACAGGAAGACTATTAACGACCATGAAAAGAAGATGTATTAAAAATGGCAAGAGTCCACCAAAAATCAATACAACATCGGCATAACATAAAGAAAAACAAGATAAGATTGATCAGAGTCAATGAGAAAGCAAGAGATTGTGCAAATGACATTAAAAACGTCTTCAAGCTGGGCGTGGTGGTACACTCCTGTAATCCAGCACTCGGGAGGCTGAGGCAGGAGGAACACTGTGAATTCGAGACCAGCCTGGGCTACATAGTGAGTTCCAGGTCAGTCTCAACTACCAAACAATAAATCTCAAACAATAAGTCTCAAAAAAACAAACATTAAATAAATAAATCATCTTTAAAAAAGTAATGGCAAGGATTATCTCAGTGGTTCCACCACCTGCCTGGCAAGGGCAAGGTCCCGACTTGATCCTCAGTACGAAAAAACAAAAGAATGGAAGAAAACAGTAATGGCAGAAAAGCTAACTAACATGGAAAAGGAATGTGACACATAAATAATAAGTAGGGCATATAGAACTCCAATTAGCCATGATAAATCTACATCAAGGCTTATAAAAACAAAGATCTCAAAAACTCAGCACAAGAACAAATCACCTATAAAAGAAAGCCCATCAGAATTACAGCATTTCTTAATGAAAAAACCCTAAAATCAAGGAGAGATTGGAGTTAAGTATTTCATGTTCTGAATGAAAACCTTCCACCCATATTGATGTACCCTGCAACACTGTCTTTCAAACTCAATGGAGGAATAAGACACTACAAAGAACAATTGAAGAAATTCATGACCACTAAACTAGCTCTACAAAATGCTGTGAAGAATATTTTAGAAAGAGATAATGAAGACAATAACAAAAAGAACACCAAAAGAAAGAAGCCACCAGGAAGTACAAGAAATTAAATAGAGAGGAAAGATGGGGAAACAACAACAGGAAAATAATATGACAAGGATAAGACAATACATTAATGTAAATAGTCTCACCTCACCCATCAAAAGACACAGACTGGCAGAATGGATCAAGAAACAAGTCCCAACATTATGCTGCATATAAAAAAACCTTAACAACAACAACAAATTCATAGTCAAATGATGGAAAACAATACTGCATATGTCAGGAACCCAAAAAAGCAGAGACACTTATTATATTTGCAAAGTGGATTTCAAGAGACAGAAAAGGTCACTACATCATTTTAAAGGAAACAACACAAGAGGAGAACACGATCATAAATACATATGTACCAAGTACCAGTACCCCCAACTGTATAAAAAATTAATGGACATGAAAAATCAAATAAACACTAATAAAATTATTGCAATAGACAGATAAACTAGACAAAAACATCACAAAAAATATCAAAACTAAACCAAATGGACTTAGTAGTTGTCTCCAGAGTATGCTGCCTAAAAGTTTAGAACATTCTTCCCAGCTAAACATCAGAACTTTTCCCAAATAGAACACATACTAACTAGTCCATAGAATATGCTTAAGTAGACACAAAGGAATTGCCATTATCCCATGCATATTATCTGACCATAGAAATTGGTATTCAATGACAAAAGAAACTACAAAAACTCTATGAACACATCCAAATTAAATAACACCCTCTTGAACAAACAATGAGTCACAGGTGAAATTAAAGAAGAAGGTAAATAGTATATAAAATGAAATGATAATCTTGATATAACATACCAGAACTTATGGGATACAATGAGAGCAGTACTGAGAGGGAAATTTATAGTGGTAAATTCTCACATCAGGAAGACAGAATAAGCTCAAATAAACAACACAGTGTTGAACCACAAATGTATGGAAAAAGCAGAGCAAGTCAAGACCAAAGCTCATATGAGAGAGGAAATTGTAAAGATGAGAGAAGAAATTAAATCAATCAGAGCAGACTAAGAATACAAAGAATCAATGAATCAAAGAGTTGGTCCTTTGAAAAATTAAATAAAATTGACAAACTTTTAGACAATCTTGTCAACAAAGAGAGAAAAAACTCAAATTCATGCAATTAGAAATTAAAAGGGTGAAATCAGAACAAATCCTGGGGAAATCCAGATGATTATCAATACCTACTTTGAAAACTGATACTCTCACAAGATGGAAAACAGAGAAGAAATGCACAAATTTCTATAAACAAATGAATTACCAAAGGTGAACCAGGAGGTTGTAAAATTCTAAGCAACCACAAAATAAGTCAGTGAAATTGACAATGTAATTTAAAATTCAGCAGCAAAGAAAAGCCCAAGTCCTGATGGC